AAAAATGGCTCAAAAATGGCTTCTTTGTCGTACGCGTGTTGCCTTGAATTACTGAGGTGTTTTCTTCGCTTTTTTTTTTTTTTTTTTTTTTTGTGTTTTTCCAAGATTCAAAGGGTGAGAGTAAGAGGTGGTTTTTTAATTAATATCTATGCAAATTGTGCTGTGTTTAGGCCGGGCTGAAGGGGTGTGGGTGCTGCCCCGGAGCCTGTCCCCGACGGCCGCCCGGGGTGACAGAAGCCGTTCAGGTGACAGGACAGTGACCGAGACACAGGGTGGACAACGACCCCCCCTTCCCCCCCTCCCAAAAAAAATCCCTTTGTGGTGACCGAGACACAGGGTGGACAACGACACCCCTCTCACCCCCAAAAAAAAAATCCCTTTGCTTTTAAACCCCCCTTCTATGAGCAAAGCACATACACAATTATGTGAATAATAAAAACTCTTTTTTTTTTACATTAGTGAATTACGCACAACCAGTTTCATGTATTAGCCCTGTTAACCAAAGATCAATTCTGTGAATAATAAAAACTCTCTTTTTTTTTACATTACTGAATTATGCACAACCGGTTTCATGTATTAGCCCTGTTAACCAAAGATGCTAATTACAGAAATGACGCAGATGGTAAACATCCTTAGCGTATTTCATCTTTTCATGATATTTTAAATTATTTGGATGGCTCTGGTTTAAATAGCATAACTTACTTGTGTAATTTTCCATGTTGGCATAATAGCATATGCTGGAATTTCCCAGGTTTTTACAAGAAGAAGTGATACCTGGTGCTGTTCTGGAAACATTTAAACTGATCTATTCTTAAATGGTTTTAGCTCTGAGCCAGTTTACTTCTTGAGCGAGTTTAGCTCAGGGAGAGAGTCTTCTTCAGAGCTCCTACGTGTTAAAAGCCACGTGTCCTCCTCCTTAAGGAGCTGTACAACTGCAGGTTGACATTTTAGAGTTAGAAAGTGGATATTCAGCCAAGCGGGAAAGGTGTTTGAGTTGCTGTCATACTGAAAGTCTCAAACATGGCTTGTTAGTGGTCCATATGTTAGCATTTGACACATTCCGTGTTGTTATAGGAAGTGTTCAAAATGACTTTTTAATCCATCCTCTGCCTAAAACTCTGCAGCAGAAACCTGGAGCCAAACGGAGATCCCACGGTGCTGGATACGTATGTGTTTGTTTTAAGGATTACCAGATGAGCTTGCTATGGATGGTGCTTCTCTTAAACTGTGTGCAGTGGTACATTCCTAATCTAGTACTTGCTTTGGGAGAGCTGAGAGAGATAAAGGGGAGGAAGTAGCATGTTTTGTGGTGATGAGTGAGATAGGGATGAGTTTGCCCAGACTTACCCAAACCATAGGGAGGAGGGAAGGGAATCGAGCCTGGGCCTTCCAGATAGCAATCCAGAGGAGCAACCATGCTCCCTCTTCAAGTTCTAATGTTAGAAAACTTTTAGTCATGAGGATGTAGCAAAAATAATTTGCGTTAAAATCGCTCATAGTACATTATCTAGAATAACAAAGCGAAGTTTCATCTCAGATATTTGATTTATCTAGTAAATAGATTTAATTTAAATAAATGGATTTGCTTTACGAACTCCAGTGGCTGTCAGCATTTATTCTGGAGGTGCCTGCTTTTTTATTTAACATCGTATAAAAATACTTTAACTTCTGCATTACCGTATTTTGATTCTCTACATTCTTTGTTTAATTAAAGTGCTTCTAGAAACGTCACTGAAAGCTGTGAATGCCAGTTTTTCTAGAGCTATTTGATTCCATTTTGAATGAGTTATCCTGCCTGCTGTTTGCATAGGTGATGCTGAAAGACGCAGCATTGAAAACTCTTCGTGTTTTAGTTTAGTAGGCTTAAGAATCACTATTAGCAACAGAAACCCCACAGAGGAAAATACATTTGACTTTTATTAGAAAACTCTCCTAGGAAGGCAGAGGATTTAATGAGGTTTAGTAGACATTTAATTGCCGTCTAAACTTTATCCCTTACCAGTGGGATTTGCTGTAGTTGGCTTATAGGTAATTTCTTACTGGAGAGACTGGATTTAAGACTTCATTTTCCCAACCAAGTCCCGTTGTTCTCCCATCACTGCGTACATGATATGGGCGTCAGCATTTTTCTGTAGTGTTGATCCTGTATTTTTGCTTAACCCAATTCTTCGTTCTGCTGTTACGTTGTTTTACTTTCTCTCTCTTTGCCTCCTAGGTCTTCTTGTGGGAACATTAGACGTGGTTTTGGATTCCAGTGCCAGAGTTGCCCCGTACCGTATTCTGCACCAGACTCAGGACTCTCAAGTGTATTGGGCAGTGGCATGTGGTATGTACTGGTGTGGCTCTTGTCAGGGGCTGGGTTTGTGTTAGTGTGTTGTCTCTTTGGCTCAGATGATTGGTTATCCCACATCAGAGTATTCTGTCACTGCTCAGGAAACTTTCTAGACCTTCTGGTGGGGTAGCGGAAGATGCCAGAAATCACAGAACTTCTTGGTGTTGTTTAAACTGCAGTTTAGGAACATAAGGCTCTGTAAAAGCTTCCGTTTCTGCAGATGTTATGAATTTTCTTTCTTTCATGGTGTGTCTGTTTGCAAGGTCATAGTCTGATTGTTCAGAGAATCAAACCGTGATGGTAAGATCGCTGCGGGACGGTGAGTGTTGTGCCAAAACCTGGTTACCAGGAACACTGTACGACATGGGAACATGTGAGGTCGTTCAAGGTGCCAGACACTCTTTATTGTCTTGATCCAATTTAGTTTTTTCTGTTAGTTATTTTTTTCTGCTATTTCTGGTTTGTAATGGATGTATAAAGGGACATGGTGTAGGGGATGACTTTGTAGAATAGGGTAGATGGTTGGACTCGATGATCCCAAGGGTCTATTCCAACCTAGACGATTCTATGATTCTATAGAGATACTATATCTGTAGAATATATTACAGTAATATTTTCAAAAACATCAAGAATCATTGCCCTCTTTTACTTCAGAAGTGTAAATGCTATATTAGAATACCACGGTACAACCTTCTAATATCTGGTGATGAACTTTGATGGAGGCTTTAGATCCTACTGGTGGCTAAAGAGATAATGTCTTCAGACATATTTGTTAGACCATCCTTGTTTATAATAAGAATCTTCACTTCTCACTTTGTGGTTGAGACGTAAAATCTGAGCATGAAGTAATCATTTGCAAAGCCCACAGATGTTGATGTCTTGTTTTCCTTGTTCCCATCTTCTCCCCAGGCAACCAAAACAGTATTCTTCCTTGCAGAGCTACTTAAATTCTGCAGAAGAAGAGAGGTTTAAAAATTGCTGTGTTTCACAGAAAATCAGTTTCCCCTTTGAGCAAGGAGAATGCAGAGAAATAGGGAAAAAAATGTCAGGCCAGAAACTGCATAGAAAAAAAGAAGAATATTTAGTGGGCCCATACGGTGCAAATCTGAAATTTTGTAGGATATTGACACTCAATTATTCTACAGTTCAGGAGTGCCGTAGTTGATATTCTCTATATCACAGGTACTTTTAAGTAACACAGGATGGTAAAATGAGGTGACCTATATAACAACCAAATGGAGTTTGATAAGTTATTATATGGGAGTAAATATATTGTCTTCATCCAAAGTAAACTGTAAAAGGAAAAGTACTGGCATTCACTTAAAGTTATAAAATGTATATGGCTCTTTAATTGAAAAATGCATTCTTGTATTTACACAAGATAAATTGTAAATACTAGCGGGCATCATTCTGTTCATGTGTGCAGCTTCACCTTTCAGCACTCTGTTCTTTGTAGGAACCGCAGAATTTTACTCTTTCCTGCATATCATTCTAATGCTGTTCTTAGAAAGATGTCAATTATTGAGGCCTGGCTTATTTTAGCAATTTGTCTGCTGTCACTTGGTGAGAGATACAGCTGATGAAACAAAACAGAATGCAGACTCTATTCCCCTGCCATTGTTACTGGACCTGTGGGTTTTTTCCACAGGCAGAGCATCCTGTATTTGATAATTCTGTGCCCTTAAAAGAAACCATTTCGTATTGCTCAAAATCATTTATTCTTTAAAAACATTGTCGGATGGCTAGGACAGATGTCAAATAAACTTATACACAGAGGCAAAAGAAAAAATATTTGTTGTCTGCTCCATTGGGCTGTGCACGCAAACTCAAATTCATCGCCCTGCGGCCCGTTGAGACAAGACAGCTTACTGGCTTCCAGTTCTTGGTTTCAGGTCCTGGAGTTATTTTTGCTTCTGAAACCACAGATTAGCTGGCGTTGGATTTTGTGGTTAGGTGTCCAACTACAAATACATGAAGACTATTTCATTGCTCTTGAAAAGGAAAGTCAAGTAGAGCAATAGCTTTAGGGAACCGCTGGTGTGTTCTGCTGCTTTCTTCTTTTGTCATTAACCACACGGAGGGGTCTAATGTGCTTGCGGAGAAATTGAGTGGTGGGAGTCATGCTGTTAACATTTTTAGATATCCCACTGCTTTTGTATGAAACTTCAGAAGATAAATTTACTGGAATTTGGCAAAGAGAAACTTACAAGCGTCTTTGATGTGCTTTTAAACAGATTTCTTTTTGTCTGCATGTAACGATGTTTCTTATCTTGTTAAAAAAATGAACTGCTGCTTTTATTTCTTCTGCATTTTTTTCTGTCTACAAGAGAATACAGTGATAGCTGTTGATAGAGAAGATGAAATCTTCTAGTAAACACAAATCTTTGAAATAATTAATGGCAAATAACTAAAGCAACTTTCTATAGAAAAGTTCCTTATGTTGGTTACACAGAGAAGCTTATCCTTTATGGACTCTTGTGTACTGTATGGTTAAAGACAGCCAACTGATAGAAGTTTTACTGAGACGTTTTTATTTAAGAAAGCAAAGAAACTTTCTGATGTGGCTATTTTGGTTGCTTTTTGTTTTGGAATTGTATGCTCTCTGCTGACCATTGCCTGTGAAAAATGGAACCTCTTTGAAGGTGTAAAGGCTTCAGTTGTTCTGAAGTGTCAAGGTTCTCTGAAAGTTCGTTATTTTTATTCTAGAATAACAGGAATTAAAAGAGTGCTTCTTATCTGGAACATAAGAATGCTTTTTGTCTGGGGGAAAAAAGCTGTGTTTGGTGTGTGCTGGCAAATAGGATGGTCTCTTGGTAGCACACTGATTATCTTTGGTCGCAATGGAGACATTTCATTAGAAGCATAATGTTGGTGTATGTAAAATATCCTTGACAAGTATACAGTTGGTGTGTTTGGGTTGTCCTCATCGCTGTTAGGTAATTGCTAGTTTCCTGCTGTAAACTCGGGGGGAAAAAGACCTTGTTCTGATTTCTTTTTTTAATTTGCTCTTCCCATCTTTTACCCCTTCACTTAGGATCATCCCGTAAAGAGATCACAAAGCATTGGGAGTGGCTGGAAAATAACTTACTGCAGACTCTCTCCATCTTTGATAATGAAGAAGACATCACCACCTTTGTCAAGGGGAAGATACATGTAAGTGACATGTTTCCCTGAGGGACTTCCAGATCCTGAGAAGGAATGGGGAGGTGGTGTTAAGAACTTTTTACCCTGGGGAGGGGTGGGAGCAAGAGTTTGTTGCAAAACTTCTCTCTGCTCTCTTTTCAGACGTACATACGTACTGTGTTATCACCATCACACTGCAGCTATAACACTGGACAAATGTATTTGGGTGGGGGGGAAGCTTATTATGAGCAGCAGATCTCAAGGAACAGCCTGCTTAGGATGCTCCTACTAAGCAAAGTACCATGCCTCTTTCAAATCTTTAGAGATTATGCCTTTGATGCAGACAGAATGTTAAACGAGGGTTCATGTAGCAAATAATAAGGGAGAGAGAATTCTAATTTGCAATGAATGTCCATGCCATGATGATCTAGAAACCATTTCATCTGGGATATAAAGGAAGTGTACCCCAACTTCCACTGACTTCTGAGTCAGGTGTCTCTGCTTGTTGTGCAGTTAAAACACTTGAGATTCCCACCCCACAAGTTCTCCAGAGTGAAAACTTAAATATACCAGGGTTTTTTTTATCGCACAGCAACAATTTGAGTCTTTTTCCAGTACTCCAGTCAGATTCTTTGTATCTTCTATTGTGCGCGTGTGTCTGAGAGAGATTGTGGTCATTTGTTTTTCCTTCTGGCCAGTCAAGATCTGACAGACTGCAGAGTTGTGCCCTTCCTGGCAGATGATCTTCTTCCTGTTGAAGCATGCTTGCAAGTGAAAGTAGACTTCAGTTCTCCTGCAGGGTGTTCAAGCTGTTACCAGGCCAGCCATGAGAAATTCAAACTGTTAAACATCAACATTTGCTGCATGTGTTCAGGAGTAGATCCCAGATCATAGACTCCCTGATTATCTGAATGCTCTTTCTAAATGTCTTTACTGTTTCTCTAACGTGACAGGAGAAATGATAACTGCTGTGTCGTGTTTCTTTTTAATGTCTTCTGGATTGCCACTGTGACCTTTTGCTGTGTGTTATGTCTGTCAGCAGGCGTGTTCCCTGCCATTTCTTCTCTCTCTCCTCCCCGTGTCCTTTCAGGGAATTATTGCTGAAGAGAACAAGAATGAGCAGCCCCAGAGTGAAGAGGATCCAGGTAAATTCAAAGAGGCTGAACTGAAGATGCGGAAGCAGTTTGGGATGCCCGAGGTGGAGAAGTTGGTCAATTACTATTCCTGCAGCTATTGGAAGGGGCGTGTGCCCAGGCAGGGTTGGCTGTACCTCACTGTGAACCACCTCTGTTTCTACTCCTTCCTGCTGGGCAAAGAGGGTGAGTTACAAGCCTTGTAGTTGTTTTTCTGCCCATGATCTTCTTGATGCAATTGATCTTTTGCGTGAACTTTTTTTAAGCTGACAGGTTTTTTCCTTTATGAGTCCTTTGAGCTCTAGCTCAATGCATAGATCAGTCCTTGCGCTTGTTGGCACTTCAGTGCTGTCTAGACTGAGTGCCTGAGTCATTTTTCAAAACATTTCTCAAGTTGTACAAGTACACCTGAAGTTTTACTTTAACTGGATTAGAGAATCAAGCAATATTTTTACTTTGATCGATTTTATTTTGAACCACTGCCAGTACCCAGTATTTACAAAGCTTGAACTCCTGAGTCGAAAGCTAATTTGCTGGAAAGGGGAATGAAATCTTGAGTAATTTTAGTTGAAAGCAATCACTGGATGGAAGGTGGTCCTTCTGGAACTGCATTATTTCTAGTCTAGTTAATCCCAAAGATTATTTCCAAGTATTTTTGAAGGACCCAGTAAAAGTATGAAGAAAAGAATTGTCCATTTGTAAGAGGGGAAGAATGCTGCTACACTGAGAGCTTACTTGCTACTAGAGCTTCATTTCTGATTGTTAGTTGTTTTGCCTTGAATTGTAATAGTAGTTTTTTTGAACTTTTTTCCCCAGTTACACTGGTGATCCAGTGGGTGGATGTAACCCAGCTAGAAAAAAATGCTACCCTGCTGTTCCCTGAGTGCATTAAAGTAAGCACAAGGGACAATGAACTTTATTTTTCCATGTTTCTCAATATCAACGAGACATTCAAGCTGATGGAGCAGCTGGCTAACATTGCTATGCGGCAGCTATTGGATAATGAGAGCTTCCTCCAGGACAAGTCCCTCCCAAAGCCCAGGAAGCCTCTTAAGAACATCTCTGCACTAAAAAGGTATATGTTTCCAGCAGTGAGAGGAGAAGACAGATAACAGGGGATTGTAGTAATAAATCTGCATTACTGTGTAGCTCCTACGGGCCACTGGGGTTTTCTTACTCTAGGGGCTGCATCACTTATTGCAGTCATTAGTCCTCTGCCTGTTCTTTTTTTTTTTTTTTTTTCCATCCCAAATTGGTACTGAATTCACACACACCCTCATGTCTTTTTCATGCATGACTAGGCATTGTCAGAAGTAGTTTTCAATTAGAAACTGTTGAAAATCCTGCTCAAAAAAATGTGAGAGAAGAAAGTTACATCAGCCCCTTTGTCTGAAATTGAATATATGTAAAAAGTAATATACATTTATATTGTAATAAGTCCTCCCACTGGGGACTGTTCTCTGCAGTTCCAGAATCTGATGTAACATTTAACTTTCACAGATGCACTTGCATATTTTATCTTGTATTGCAGGACATACCTTGTCAGTGAAGCATGTCTGAAGGTTGAAAGAGGAGTCAGATAAGGGGTGGCATCTCAGTTAGAGAAGTGAATACTAAGAATACACAGCTCAATCTGAAGGCTGTGATTGGAACAAACACTTAACATTAGTGTTTGAGTGGGTTTTTTGAGTGAGAAAAAAAGCCTCTGGGAACTCCTCTTTACTTTTCCCTAGAGACCTGGATGCTCGAGCCAAAAATGAGTGCTACCGTGCCACTTTCCGGTTGCCCAAGGATGAATGCCTGGATGGACATACAGACTGTACCTTGTGGACACCTTTCAACAAGATGCATATTCCTGGCCAGATGTTTGTTTCCAACAATTACATCTGTTTTGCCAGCAAGGCAGAGGAGGCCTGTCACCTCATCATTCCTCTCAGGGAGGTGAGGATTTCTCAGCTGTATATTAAGACTACAGGCCTTTGTTGTCTTTTGTGTGCTTCTGGCTTTTGTGTGCTGCTGGCTTTTGTGCAGTGCTTTATAGATAATGGAGAATCTGCTAGATCCAAATGGCCCTTATCTTTGTCTTCTAGGTGACAATAGTTGAGAAAGCAGATAGTTCCAATGTCTTGCCCAGCCCTCTGTCCATCAGCACTAAAAGTAAAATGACCTTCTTGTTTGCCAATCTGAAAGACCGAGATTTCTTGGTACAGAGAATCTCTGACTTCTTACAGAGAACACCATCCAAGAAACCGTGCAGCAGCGACAGGGAATGGAAGTGGAATTTGGCTGAGCCTGGTTGCGAGGTACTGAGGGAATAGTGGGGAGGAGCTTTTGTCAGCTTTCCAGAGTAATGCTCCTTACAGTGTGGTAACAGTGCTCATTACCAGCAAATGATGTCTCTTTGTTAGACAGTTAGCAGAGGAAGGAGGGTGCCTGAGCTCAGATGTTTTCTCTTCTGTTGTTCAGGAGGTTCCAGAGCTGCCTTCCAGCAGCCCACTGGCCGTTAGCCCCACGTCTGCTCTCGGCAATCGACCTGTCGGCTTCTCTGCCGGGGAAGTGCCAACAGCCTCGCAGGGACTACTCAAACTCTTCAGAAGAAATTCCGAGGAGCTCTTGGGACCCAAAGGGGTGAATAATATTTTAACTTCAAACAATTAACTCTAAATAGTTTGCAGTAGGTTGCAGATGCCCTGTCCTGCTCTAAGACTGAAAATGGATTTTATCCTTGGTAAGTTCCTGCAGTATCACTGCTGTGTCTGTCACAGTGATAGTGCTGCATAGATGTAACCTGACCTTCAGCTTACTTTATGAATACTGAGATACCTGAGATACTTGATGAGAGACTGAGAAATTAGTGTTACTGTGCTTCTGGGATGTAAATTTGTGTCAGTGAAGAACTAAATTTCTTCAGATGAAGAAAGCAGAGAACTGGTATCTCTGCTTGGTAGTTAATTGTCTTAGGCCATGATTCTGCTTGCATTTGTGTAGAGATTACAAGGTGTAATGCACAACCCATGTACGCCTTGTAAAGACTTGACTTTTAAGCAAGGTCAGAACTGATTTAAAACAGTGTAGATTAGCATATACCCTTTTATTCAGCAGGCAGAAGAAAGGCTTTAAATGTCACAGTGTATTTCTCTTGTGAAGTGTAGGCTTGAGTATACCCAGGAATTACCCATCCTACAAACATTAAAATGCATTAATCTCCTAAAATGGCCATATTTGTTCCTGTGAAGGCAAAGGAGAAGATGAAAGAAGAGTCCTGGAACATTCATTTCTTTGAATATGGGCGGGGGATGTGTATGTATCGCACTGCCAAGACGAGGGAGCTTGTGCAAAAAGGAATCCCAGAGAACCTTCGGGGAGAGCTGTGGCTCCTTTTCTCAGGTAGGAGGTTGTGCTGGATACTTTGACAACTAAGCAGGAGTATGCTTTCTGCACATGTCAAAGGGAAAGCTCATTTCAGAAGAAATTAATCACAGGTTAACTCCACCTGAATGATACTTCATGGTGTTTTTGTGAAAAAATGCAGTGATTGCATTCCTGAGATTACTTTCTTTATGACTGTAGTAGCTCTTTGGCCTCCTTTTGTCTGCGTTTCAGTGTTGGGACCTAGACTTTAACATGATGATTTAGCAATGAGTTTATTACTAAACTTTCCTACCTATTTATAGTTGATGAGTTCATGTAGCGCTTCCTGGCTGCCTCTTTTCTGAAACTGTGGGCATAAAATCTGTGTTCCAAAGCTCAAGAGGTGAAGCAGTGTTTGTTTGTCGTTACAGGGGCATGGAATGAGATGGTGACTCATCCTGGTTACTATGCAGATCTTGTGGAAAAGTCAATGGGGAAATACAATCTTGCTACAGAGGAAATTGAGAGAGATCTGCACCGTTCTATGCCAGAACATCCTGCCTTCCAGAATGAGCTGGGAATTGCTGCCCTCCGGAGAGTCTTAACAGCTTATGCATTCAGAAATCCAACAATTGGGTACTGTCAGGTAAGAAAGAAGTCTTAGACTTGTTAGTCCTACACGGTGACCATTATTGACTTGGACTTTTTCTGCAGTTTTTTGTTCAGTTTCAAGCTTTCCCTTCATACTGTCAACGCGGTGGTATGAGAGAAGGAAAGAAGTGGTAATGTTGCAAGATTTCTCAACTCGCCTTTGGATGCACCGTTTAAATAGACTTTGTGCATTTCTGTTGGGTGTAATGACAGTTTTTTACTAGTTTTCCTGCTGGAGCTTTCCCTAGTTCAGCAAAAACATATTCTGCTTTCATTAAAAAGGGCAATTAAATCAAGTAAGTGATGATGCCCCTGGGCAGTATATTGAAAACGAAGCCAGTTGCTGGTTTGTGAAACAACTGGGTGGAAAACTCAGTTTCATTTTGTGTATTGCTTTGGTATTAGTGGTTCTCATTATGTTATTCAGTTATGACCAAATTGTTACAAAGCTTTTTATGAAAACTTTGAAAATTATGCTTAGTCACATTGATAAACAAAAATGCTTGACAAAAAGTGGTTATATTATTTGCTGCCTCACAAGCAGAGGAACTGAAACAGGAAGGTAAATTGACTCAAGGTCGTCTACTGACTCAGACACCAGTAAAAGCTGGAAATAGATATGACTCTTAGTGACAGTTTTGCTGTGTTCATGCTTTTTAAGTTTTGGCCTGTAATGACAGTGCTTTCTTGAACATCTTCATGTTTCTGTCCTATATCTGTGTGTTCAACTCTGCTGTCTCGTAGGCCATGAACATTGTGACATCTGTACTGCTGCTGTACTGCAATGAGGAAGAGGCTTTCTGGCTCCTGGTGGCTTTATGTGAGCGGATGTTGCCAGATTACTACAACACGAGAGTAGTGGGTGAGTCTTCATCAAAATCATGCTGGAGCCTGGATTTTCAGCTACAGTTGCACCAGCGTCTCTCAGGATCGTTTTGTTGTTCAGAATGAATTAAATGTGATGCATTTTAATGATGATGAAGCGCAACCCCGTTGGCTTTAAAGTTGCAGGTGTGTGATGGAGACAGGAAGAGACACTAGAGGCTGCCAAGGCAGTAATACTACCTTGTAGTGACAAGGAAGATGAAGTCACTAAAAATTGGTGGCAGGAGGGATCATTAGCAGTCAGGAGGCATATCTAGAAGAAAATTACTGGGTTATTTTTTACTCATCTGAATGATGTATTAAATCTTTGGAATAGGCTTCCAGGAAATATCTAGAAGAAAATTATTGGATTATTTTTTTACTCATCTGAATGTTGTATTAAATCTTTGGAATAGGCTTCCAGGAAAGGTTACTGAAAGCACCGCTTCATGGGCTTTTAAAGTTGGTCAGTTTAAAGAGTATGGTTTGATGTAAATACTACAATATCAGTAATCTAAATGTGTAGATCAAGGAGAAATTCTGTTACTGGATACTCTGCAATATAGGAATAGTCTTTATCTAAATATGTTGGTTTTATTGAGAACAGGGAACAAATCTCAATAAATGTGTTAATTTTAGTTCTGATCTTGAGGCTTACAAGACATCAAAGAGAACTCATGTTCTTTCATTTAGTAATTTATTAGCTTAAGTATAGTACTATGATACCACCAATTGGAGTTCTAGGGTTGTTTTTGTTTGTTTTCCCAGGTGCACTGGTGGACCAAGGCATCTTTGAAGAACTTACACGAGAATATCTTCCACAGCTGTCAGAAAAGATGCAGGACCTGGGAGTGATTTCCACCATATCCCTTTCCTGGTTTCTCACTCTCTTTCTCAGTGTCATGCCCTTTGAGAGTGCCGTGGTCATTGTTGACTGTTTTTTCTATGAGGGAATCAAGTTTATCTTGCAAGTGTCATTGGCCATACTTGATGCCAACGTGGAGAAGCTGTTACAGTGCTGCGATGAAGGTGAAGCCATGACTATTCTGGGCAGGTACCATTTGTTGTTCTTATTTATAACTGAATAGTAACGGTACCCTTTTAGTCATCGTCTCTTCTACTTAATTCCATTACAGAGCAGGTCACAGGTAACGCTATAGGACACAACTTGAGCTTCAGAGAGGTTTGCTATTGCTTTCAGCAACAGCTGAATTAATTTTTGGCTCAAGTAAGGAGGAATCCCATATTTCTGGAATTGTTTGCTTTGCAGCATAATGCACTGCTGCTTCTCAGTTTGAGTTTGAACTCAGAAGGGTTGTTTATCTGAAATTCACAGAATTCTGATCTATTAAGAACAGATCCTGGAAGAAATAGCCTTCTAGAAACACAAAACTTTGAGGCAGGGATCTCCCAAGTCTAGTAAATGTAAGGTGTTCTTGTTTGAAATGTGAATCTCTTCTATATGCAGCAAGATCTTCAGTTTACTGCTAGAAGCCCACTTTAAAAATAGCAGATACACCCAAAATAGGATGAAAATCAACTTTATTTCAGATATGTTGAGGGTATATTGCAGGTTAGCTGGGAAAACTTAAATTTTCCTATGTATTTAGATTAATGATAGTAAAAAGTTGAAAATGATGCATTTAGAGTATTACTTCTTTCCTGGATACTAATCCTGGAGTCCTGGATCTGTTCTATTTTTCCATACAGATATTTGGACAACGTAGTTAACAGACAGAGTGTCTCTCCCCCTATTCCCCACTTGCACGCCTTATTGACGAGTGGAGATGACCCGCCACTTGAAATCGACATCTTTGAACTCATTAAAACATCCTATGAGGTAAGGTTCTGGCTTAGTTTCTGCCCAAGAGGTTTTTCTCCACTACCATCGAATTTTATACTTTCTGCAGCCAGAATTTTAGCAGTGTTCATAGCTTAAGGTGCTAAAGGAGTGCAGGCCCAGACCATTAATCTTCCTGTTCATGTGAGTAGAGCCTAACACTTTTGGCTGTAGTGGATTACAAAGAGTCTCCCCAACCCTAGTGGAAACTAAAACAAAGACTGCAAATAAGTAGAAATTACAGACCAGAGTTTTCTTCCTGGTTTGCCAAAAAAGTCTCCATTCTTACTTGCATGTGAGGTTTGTCAGTGCTGGGGAGTTGGGGAGGGAAATTGAAGTTTAAAATTGTGAGGTGTCCTAGGGAAACATGGAAGCATCTCAGTCCATGTACACAGGAATCCTGTTCTGAGATCCACGTTACAGTAATACAAAGGTGACTCAAGAATGGTGCCAATGCTCTTGAAATACCTCTGTGCTGGTGGAGGTGTACCTCATTATTCAGTCTGAGAACAAACTAGTAAGAAATTTATATCCAAATGGTAGAAAGAATGCAGACAGGAGAACTGCCTTTGACACTTCTCTGCTACACTGTGGTAATTGTGGGTTCGTTTCCCTTTCTAACTCGTGTTCTTCATCCTGTCCCCTTCCAGCTGCTTACAGTCGGGCAGCTATCATTTTGGTGGTTCTATTGCTTGTTTCTTTAAATCTTCTGTCTCTGTTCTTGGTTTCTTTTATAAAAAAGGATGTCATCAAATTCATCTTACTTGTCTGACCTAGCAAGCAGAAAAGCCTGTTAACTTTGGGGTTTCTAGCTCAATCTCATATGGATCCTATCAAAAAAACAGGGCTGGAAGAAATGACAACCTCTCTCTTCTCTGATCTCTGCCACAGAACAGGATCTGTCAGTCCTGACAGATGCTCTTTCAGCTGTTCTTTAGAAACCTCTGATGTTGGATTTCTCATGAATTCTGGATGTCTCCTTTTTAGGACAGGGAAATGAATGGGAAATAGAGCTCAAGGCTTTTTTTCCTCATCTTTTTGCTGCTGGTAAAAGGCATCTAGGGGTTTTAGATCATCTCTGAGAGCATAGTACACTTGTTGAATGTAAGTGAACAGGGGTTTTTCTTTCTTTAGGAGAAATGTTGACCTGGTCTGCTTTCTTTCTTGTAGAAATTTAGCAATCTGAAGGCAGATGATATAGAACAAATGCGTTTTAAGCAAAGGCTGAAAGTGATCCAGTCTCTGGAGGATACAGCCAAGAAGAGTGTGGTATGTGACTCCCAGATTGAATGAGCTACCAAATGGCATATTAATGGAATGTGTTTTGCTGTGAGCATCTGGAAGGTTTGTGCTGTAGCAGACCCAGTTTTAAGTGACTTAGAGAATTGCAGTTCATGTGAAAAAAAATGGATTTACTGACTGGAATAAGGGATTTACAGTTTTCTTCTTCGCATGGTTCTAGTTAATCTAATACAATGGATTGAAATGCTGGGGCATGATTGAATGAGATACGTGGCATGGAAGGAGATAAAAACCACTCATAGGCCTTGTAACAGTCTCCACTGCCTAGTGCTGTCTGTTTGACTGCTTGCCTGGGATCTCTGAGAAAAGCTACGTAACAAATCATTATTTTCCTGCCATTTAGAGAGTATGCTAGTGCGTTAGGGAATTTTACAGAAGGGTTTGTGGCCATAGGGAAGTATCCATATCTATTGAAATTGTCTCCCATGTCCCCGGTGGAGAACCTCACCTACGTGTTTCTTTCACTGTTGTTTTTCAATGCATCTGAATCAAACATCTGAAGATAAAAACAAGAGGTGGGGGCAACACAGTCAGCAGAGTCACGTCTGCATGAACAAGCACAGTAATTTCTTCTAGCTGCTCAAAACCTCAGCAGTTTTTGCTTGACCAGAAACTGTCTTCCTGACCTGTAATCCATAGCAATGGGAGGTATCAAAATGGTTGTTTTCCCTCCCATCCTATGTCATATCACCTTGCACTTCACTTTGTGTTACAGACTTTTCAGTGAGTCTTACTTGATTTTTCTAGCTTTGAAATGAATTGTTCACTCTATTTTCTCCCTAACTATAGGTCCGAGCTGTGTCTAGTGACATTGGTTTCTCTATTGAAGAGCTAGAAGAGCTGTATGTAGTGTTCAAGGTAAGAAGCTAAGAGGGAGAAGAATGTGTTCTGACACAGAGAGAACAAGTATCAAAATAGGTTGAAAGGGAAGCAATGATTTTGCTTTGATTCTTAATCCAACTTACCAGAAACAGACGTGGCATTCTGTTATACCTGGTTATGGATGGTGCCAGTGAGACTGGCCCTATTACTATACAATTGATTTTTAGTGTTTTTTCAAAGATGGGCAAAATATGTTTGCAGTGTTTGAATGATGCTTACTCAGAAAAAGATCATGGAATCAGTGGACTGGAATGTCACATAGCACTTAGAACAGGGAGCTAGGATTGACTGTTCTTCAGTTTTTCTTTTCAAGTTTGCCATTGACTTGCTCTGTAATTGTGACAAAATAACTTAAGTGCTTTGCCTCCTTTTGTCAATATATGTATTTTTAAAAGAATCACGTTACCCAGCTGCATCTACTAAGGCCAGTAAGACTTTGAACAGAGGCAACAATCTCAGCTATCTGTTTAAACTACCTTGTTAGAGGAAAAAAAACAGATTCCAGATTATTTCCTCATGACTCTATTGACCTTTTTGTCACACTGTGATGAAATTACTAAAAATAGGCAATTTTCCTTCTAAAAAATTACCTAATAATAAGGTCCCAGTTTGTATAAGACCTTTTTGTTATTAGCCCCTTCGTCAACAGTTTTACTACTTGCATTGTTTCATTTAATTTTATTTCTGTCACCCACATTTACAAAGTTCTTTATATGTGGTATCTCAGTCTTCTATATTGAGAAATATTGACAATGAGTTTTGCAAATAAATATTGACAATCCGTTTTGCAAACTGAGTGCAAACTCAGTTGAACTGGGCTGTAGATTCCAAAAGAGACTTAGTTCTAAATCCTGCATGTTCCCTTTGCAGTAAAGGCTGAGTGTCATTTCATTTAAACCTAAAATCATGGGGTTTGTATTTTTCACTTGAAATTGTTCTTTTGCTTTTCGTGAAATCCCTGTCTCTTCCTTCATTTTGTATTGTTTTGTAGTGAAATAACTCTAGGGATAATGGGGGAGATAAACAGTGTGTCTTGAAATGTCTCTTCTCTGCTTACTCAGTGCCATCCTTGAGCTATGACAAAGTCTCTGTTCTCGTGGATTGTTGTAGTGTAGAATAATGTGACCTATTAATCCTTTCCCTCCCAAGGCAAAGTATCTGATGAGCTGTTACTGGGGCAACAACCGTGCTGCAGCTGCCCGCCGCGATCAGAGTTTGCCCTACCTGGAGCAGTATCGCATCGACATGGAGCAGTTCAAAGAGCTCTTCATCAGCCTGACCCCCTGGTCCTGTGGCGCACACACACCGGTGCTGGCAGGGCGTTTGTTCCGGCTTCTGGATGAGAACAGGGATTCTCTCATTAACTTCAAGGAGTTTGTGACAGGGATGAGTAAGTGGTGGTTTTGGAAATGATGCAAAAATTGCTTCTGTCCTTTTCCAAGCAGAGAACTAACAGGAGACAGTGATGTTTGCCCTATCCTGAGGGGAGGGTGACAGCTTTACAGCGAGCCCCAGGCAGAACAAGAGATGCCTTTTTGCTGCTGGGCAGTCTCCTGTTTTGGGAAACGAGAGGTGGCAAACCAACAAGGTGCAGCTTTGCTGTAGATTTTTTTACTGCTTCTGCGCAGGACTTAGTGGAGTTAGTGTTTCCTCACTGTATGTGAACTCGTTCTGTTTTGAGCCTGGGCGCAGAGGGTAATTCTTTATCCTAATTGCTATCTTCTTAATTGTTTGGGGTTTTCTTTCTCCTCAGGTGGAATGTACCATGGTGACCTCACTGAAAAACTCAAAGTACTTTACAAACTGCATCTGCCTCCAGGTGAGTGATTGCTTTCATATGTTGCTGCCATTCAGCATGGTTTGTTTCAACATGCAATTGAAAAGGGAACCCGCATGAATTTTGCTGAAGAAGTGGGTGATACTGCTGTTCAATTAGCTTAGAGATCTTAACATTTCCTTCTCTCTAACTACAGCTCTGAATCCAGAGGAGGCAGAGTCTGCTTTGGAGGCCACGAGTTATTTCACAGAGGATGTTACAACAGAAGGTAATACAACACTCTGCTGCCTTTACCTTTCAGTGTAGGCAGGAGTTGCAGCACAAATCCATGTGCTGTTAATAGTGATTTTTCCAAGGCATGGTCTCATGGTGACAGTATGCTAACGTCGCCAGCGTGCTTGAGTTCGCTGTCTTTGTTGCATGATGGGGAAAGAAGTTTGGAGCTTAAACTGCTCAGCACCCATTTCATGCAGGCCCCCTCTGAAGCACACTTCCAGACTCCTGAGGAGCAGTGTGCTTTTACTGGCCCCTGTCTCCCACCATGATTTAGGTTTTTCATGCAAGTCTCATTGTCTCTCTTCTTGTTTTTGTTTCCTTCTCTGTGTCTGTCTATGTCTGGCCTTTTCTTCTGTTTTATCTGGGATATTGTTCCCCTCAACCCCTTTTTCTGCTGCTCAAGTATCTCCTTTTGTCTCAGAGCTGGATTTCTGCCTGCACTGTGAGTCTCAAGGTCAGTCCATGGATTATGTGCATGCATTGAGCATGGCTATAATGCTGGTATCATCTGCCAGCACCAATGTGCTGGTTTAAATACTCTGAAGTTGTCGCTGCTGCTCCTCTCTCATGACATCCCCACTAGGAATAAAGTGCTATAAGTAATTAGATATCTTTCAGTATATTTTACCTATTGAGTTTCAACCTTGGTCAAAATAGGTTTTGTCTGGCTTCTTTCAGCTGAGTTTTTCTCACCCTAGAAGCTGGCAGGGGAAAATATGCTCAAGGTGGAGTGGGAGAGGTGCTAGGGTGGCTGGCCTGGGTAGCTGGTACCTGTGCCTCCTCCACAGCCTTCTCATTTAAAGGAATAAGGATGCATGTTGTTGAATTGTAAAACTGTTAGTAGACTAATTTACGGAGATTGTCAGGCAGGAGGTCTAAGTATGTCATTTGTGGTGAATGTTTACCAGAACATAAAAAAAAATGTGAGTAAGTAGTTGTGCTGTTTGGTACTAGATGGCTGACTTAAGTCTGGGTTGAGCTACGATTTCCTATGAATCCTAGCCACAGTGTAGGGAACTAGAAGCAAAGTTCATGAAGTCAGGCTCTGCAAATTATTCCTGAAGTGTCAGTTCAGTGAGTGAATAATGGTGAGCATGGATATTAGTCACGTATGTGTTCAGTGGTGGTTTGGTTTTTTACCAGTCATTATCTTGCTTTGGATAACTGAACTTCTTTGTCTTTATGCCATCGCATTGCTTAGCTGTCTTTCATACCTGTGTTTTACCCTTTCTTTTAGGAGTTCTGCCCTCTGCCTCAGCTCTTCAACCCACTTTTTCAGTGTGACTTTTTATCCAGTTTATCCCATTAGCCTTTTGCTTCCATCCTGTTCTGTTCACTCCTCCAAACGTGATGTGGGAGTGTGAGATCTAACTTCTATTAAATATATTCTTGTGTGATTTTAATTTGTATATGAGTTGTCTTAACGTTCTTCCTGCGTTGTATTGTTGAAAATCAGCTATTAATCATTCTTTTATAATTCCATATTTTTTTAGAAACCCAAGAAGATAAAGGGAGGAAAAATGAAAATGGTCCAGAAAAAGGTAATTTTGTCTTAGATAGACCACATTCCAGTCTTGCCTCTCTCGTATTATGAACCGTTCGTTGTCCTTTGCTGTATCAAGGAGACCTTTCACAGTGTCTCTTGTGGACAAAGGTAAAGTGGGATGTGAGCCAGGAAATACATCTCTCATGTCCTACTGCTCCAACTCTTTTACATACCAAGATCATAAGATTTGTAAATCATGCTTGGTAAGTTGTCAGCTCACAGAGTTCATTTATGACAAGTCAAGCTGGTGCAGCAGTGTTAAAATTCTTGCTCTACTGAGCTGTTTCAGATAAACCAGCAGCAAACAATGCAGTCTTCCTGGTAGATGCTTTCCTGAACTATCAATAAAACCTGTTTCCATCATGATCTTTGCTGGCACAGCATCCTCTTTTTAAGTCTGAAACCATTAACCACCTGACAGTAGTGGCTTTGGTCTTGCCTTGCAGAGGAGAAAGGTACCAGTCCGCAGGACTATAGATACTACCTAAGAATGTGGGCCAAGGAAAAAGAGTCCAAGAAAGAAACCATTAAAGATCTCCCTAAAATGAGCCAGGTAAGAAGTGAATGTGAAGGTTTCCTGTTAAGTGACTGACAGCTCAGTGGGGAATTCAGCAGCATGTGCAGCTGTTTTACCTGCACACTCAGTCCTTGCCTGTAGATTTCCTTGCTGTTCTGTCTGGTGAGCTTTAGAAGCCTCTAATTCCACACTGCTGGTGAGCTTTAGAAGCCTCTAATTCCACACGTTTGTGTTGAATTTCTCAGTGGACATGGACAAACTACTTTGTTTCCACTGATCAAATGTATTTGATTCTCTCTGCCTCCCAGACCAATTTTTCCAATAAAAACTGTGATCTGTGTTTTCCCTCCAGAGCAGTATGTTTCAAATATGCCATTAGTCATACAAACTTATTTGGGTTTTTTGGTTTTGCATTGCCTCAAGTTACAGTTGCGTGGGGGAGAGTGAAGTATGTGGTTACAGGAAAGAGAGTCTGATGACTGGTGTGATCTTTTCTGTCTCTAATTTCCTTGATGGGTGCTACTTAAAACAGTTCAGAAATGCTTAAACACTGACCACAAAAGAGTAGCAAGACAAAAGTAAAACTTCAGGTTTTCTCAGATGTGAATATGGGAGCACTCTGTTCATCTGTCAGGAAAAACCCCACCACTATGAAATTGCTGGCTGTTGTCTGAATTCAGCCCCTACAGCAGAGACAGAAGAGTTTGCCTGTATTGAACTGTTCTGAATCAGTACAATAAGTTGCTGTTTCCTTGGTGGGGAGGCAGATAACACAAGGAGTCAATCAAGATGGAGCTTGTTGCTTCATCTCAAGGAGCATCTGAATGATGCTCTTAGTCACATGGCTTTGTTTTAGGTGATCCTGTGAGGAGCAGGGAGTTGAACTCAATGATCCTTATGGGTCCCTTCCAACTTGAGATACTCTGTGATCTGCCACTGTCACCTTTTTTCTGCCTGTAGTATGATTTTTTTGGGTATTTTGTCTTTTAAAGGAACAATTCATAGAGTTGTGCAAGACCCTTTACAACATGTTCAGCGAGGACCCGGTGGAGCAAGAGCTGTACCATGCAATTGCCACTGTCGCCAGTCTCCTCCTGAGAATTGGGGAGGTTGGGAAAAAATTCTCTAACAGGCCCATGAGGAAGTCTGAGGACTGCAAAGCAAACAATCCCCAAGATCCTGTGAGCGAAGAGGAGTCACCAACATCTGAACAGAGTCAGAATTCAGCAGTGGAGCAGCAACCCCAAGCTGACCAGGAGGACAAAGCCTGTGGCGATGCTCAGCCTGAAAAAACACAGCCGGAGAACCAAACTCTAGGAGATGGGTCAGGGGAAGGACAAGGCTCTCCTTTACAGCTGCTATCAGATGATGAAACCAAAGATGACATGTCCATGTCTTCCTACTCCATGGTCAGCACAGGCTCCCTGCAGTGTGAAGACATTGCAGATGACACGGTCCTGGTGGGTTGTGAGGGCAGTAGTTCGGCTGCCAGGTACGGCAGTACCATTGATACTGACTGGTCCATCTCCTTTGAGCAGATCTTGGCATCCATGCTGACAGAAACGGCCCTCGTAAACTACTTTGAGAAAAAAGTCAACATTCTGCAAAAGATCAAAGATCAGAAGAAGGTAGAGAGGCAGTTCAGTTCCTCCAGTGACTATGAACTTTCCTCCGTGTCAGGGTGAACTCAAGAAAGCAGGAATTGTCTTTGGGAGATAAAACAGGGAGATAATGTGGCAGATGGCAGGATGGTTTGGTATTTTGTGTTTGGGGTATTTTTTTTGTTTAATCAGAGACCAGTAACTACACAATTACATTAGATTCCAATCGATAAGGGGCTTCTGACAGTGACTGTTTTGTGTAGGTGCTTCTTTGGCTACTCTGGCTGCCAGAATTAGATTTACATCCTCGAGAGCCATTAGAACCTAATAGCCCCTGACATATAGAATTACCACCATAAATTATGCATGTCTGCCTTTTGCTATCTTTCATTTTAATGAAGTTTTATTTCAGACAGTAACTGCTCCTTGCCTGCCCTTCTTTGCTGTCGGTTCTTGCGCAGCAGATGCAGCCTGGCTTGAAACCACGTCCTGCCAGCGCGAGAGCTAACGCAGTGTAGTCAAGTGCTATAGGACCCTGACCTATAAATAGTCTCGTGAGTCCTTCAGTGCTGTTCTGTGACTCAGCAGCTATCATGCAGTTGTGCCCCGCTGCTCCCAGCACCCTGAGGTCTAAACACAGGCGTTTCTCTGATCTGCAGGTTTCTTTCAGACGTGATTTGGCATTTTCATAGTGCACAACCACCTTTTTTGGTTTTTTCCCCTCCTTCAGCATTCGGGAGTTTTCAGACAAACCTGGTTTTCTAGCACTTGCTTTTCTAATCCTTTGAAAGCCATTGTTTTTATTTGGTCTGAGAAGTCACAAGCTGCTTGACTTCAGTGCAGAAGTAATATTAGGTCAATTTGTGGGCTCATGACCATTATAATGAGGGAATATGTTCCTAAATTAGAACTTGGTGAATCAGCCTCAGTGTTACAGGGCAGTGACACACTGGTCTGCTGGACTCTCCCTGCTGGTACAGAAAAGATTCATTATTTCTTGCTGATTCTCTGTTTTCACTAGCCAGTGATGGGTCCAATTTTTAGGAGGGCCCCTCAGAACCCTCGATTGGTCAGCCCTTGGCAATGCTTGGCACAGGGAGATGTGCAGGAGAGCTCTGCCACCTGCAGCTGCCCGGCATGTCCTTTCTGAACATCTCATGTTCAAAGAGTCCAGCGATGGGTGTGCTCTTAGAAACTGCTGCACATCAAAGGGCATTTATCCCTAAAGAGGGAGAACTCGAAGCAGCATGGCCCTCTGCCACCAGCCCATTAAGGGAAACCTCAACAGACTAGATCTCTTCCCAGTCAAGAGGCGAAATAACTGGGAGACTGAGTGACTGCTCTTTTAAATCAATTAAGACCAGAAGAAACGTAAAGAGAGTTAGCCTTCTAGTAGTGGGGCGTGCGCTCCGAGGAAGGAGAATTAATGCTGTTCCTACAGATAAATTCATCTCATTAGGCAGGCACCTGCCCTTGTGGGGCCAGACCCATGGGAGAGAGACCCTGCTGCTGCTGGGGGAGAGCAGAGCCCACACTGAAGGCAAAGGTTTGGGATGGCTTTTGGCTGGCACCGGGGGTATCACGGGTGGGAAGGACACGTTGGGTTGGATGTTCCCATTTAACACTAATCGGTGTGCTCCTCAGTGTTAATTCCTCCTTGTGACATTCTCTGTTACGTATTCACAGCTGGTACATACTTCTCTGCCTCCTCTGTCCTGCATCACTGGAGAGCAGCCATTAGTAAAACGGCTTTTACTAATTATTCAGTAATTTATTGTAATTTTTTTAAGGTACAAATAATACATGTGATTTTACACTGTCCGTCTGTCTTACCTGTCATGTACTCAATAAATGAACCAGAATCCTATAGGCTCCCCTGACTGCCTTTTATTTCTCTGAGCTCATGGAATATTGTTTGTTCTTTGTCCACAGCAGTTACCTGAAGGAGCAGGGGGGGTGTCGTTGGAGTCTGACGTCTTTTCTCTCCCTTTTGTTTTTTCTTTTATTTTTTATTGTCTCTCTTCTTTTTCTCTTCCTTTTTTCTTGTCCCCTTTTCTTTTTTTTTTCTTTTCCTCTTGTTCCTTTTTTCTTGTCCTCTTTTCTTGTTTTTTCTTCTTTTCCTCTTGTTCCTTTTTTCTTTTCCTCTTGTTCTTTTTTCTTGTTCCTTTTTTCTTTTTCTCTTCCTTTTTTTCTTTTCCCTTTTTTTTCTTTTCCCTTTTTTTTCTTTTCCCTTTTTTTCTTATTTCATTTCATGTTTTTTATTTTTTCTTTTGCCTTTTTTTTTTCTTTTAACTTTTTAAACAGCCTCCGGTGGGTGCAGATGCGGTCAGTGAAGCGTTTTCCCTCCTGCCAGACTCCCGCTGCCGTAAGCCCTCCCCTTCGGAGGCGGCTGATGCCGATTAATTGATTTTCTTAACGCTGAGCGGCTGCAGGTGGCACAGCCCGGCGCTGTGGCCTGTCCCTATCGACAGTCACCTGTCGCGACAGCGGCCCCGGGGGCGGGGCTGGGCAGACCCGGGGGCCAGAGCGGCGCACTCGCTGGTAGCGGGGTGTCACGTGGGTTTTTTTTTCTTTTCCTCTTGTTCCTCTTTTCTTGTCCTCTTTTCTTGTTTTTTCTTCCTTTCCTCTTGTTCCTTTTTTCTTTTCCTCTTGTTCCTTTTTTCTTTTTCTTTTCCCTTTTTTTCTTTTCCCTTTTTTTCTTTTCCCTTTTTTTCTTATTTCATTTCATGTTTTTTATTTTTTCTTTTGCCTTTTTTTTTTTTCTTTTAATTTTTTAAACAGCCTCCGGTGGGTGCAGATGCGGTCAGTGAAGCGTTTTCCCTCCCGCCAGACTCTCGCTGCCGTAAGTCCTCCCCTTCGGAGGCGGCTGAGGCCGATTAATTGATTTTGTTAATGCTGAGCGGCTGCAGGTGGCACAGCCCGGCGCTGTGGCCTGTCCCTATCGACAGTCACCTGTCGCGACAGCGGCCCCGGGGGCGGGGCTGGGCAGACCCGGGGGCCAGAGCGGCGCACTCGCTGGTAGCGGGGTGTCACGTGGGCGGAAGGCGCGCGTTGCCATAGCAACGGCGGGATGGCGCCGCCGTGCTGGGCGCTGCGGTGCTGCCGCTGCCGCCTCTTCCAGGTGCAGCAGGTGGGTGCGGGCCGGGCCGGGGAGCGGGCTCCGGGCTGTGCGCCGGCACTGACCTCTTTTCTTGTTTTTTTTTCCTTTCCTCTTGTTCCTTTTTTCTTTTCCTCTTGTTCCTTTTTTCTTTTTCTTTTCCCTTTTTTTCTTTTCCCTTTTTTTCTTTTCCCTTTTTTTCTTATTTCATTTCATGTTTTTTTTTTTTCTTTTGCCTTTTTTTTTTTCTTTTAACTTTTTAAACAGCCTCCGGTGGGTGCAGATGCGGTCAGTGAAGCGTTTTCCCTCCTGCCAGACTCCCGCTGCCGTAAGCCCTCCCCTTCGGAGGCGGCTGATGCCGATTAATTGATTTTCTTAACGCTGAGCGGCTGCAGGTGGCACAGCCCGGCGCTGTGGCCTGTCCCTATCGACAGTCACCTGTCGCGACAGCGGCCCCGGGGGCGGGGCTGGGCAGACCCGGGGGCCAGAGCGGCGCACTCGCTGGTAGCGGGGTGTCACGTGGCCGGAAGGCGCGCGTTGCCATAGCGACGGCGGGATGGCGCCGCCGTGCTGGGCGCTGCGGTGCTGCCGCTGCCGCCTCTTCCAGGTGCAGCAGGTGGGTGCGGGCCGGGCCGGGGAGCGGGCTCTGGGCTGTGGGCCGGCACTGACCCCTTCTGCGCCTTCCTAGGCCAAACGGAGCGGGAAGTGGAGCTGCAGCGTGTGCGGACAGCGGCAGGCCCTGCAGAAGGTGAGGGGCCGGCCGGGGAGGAGGAGGCCTGGGCGGCGGCGGTGGGGAGCCCTGTGTGGAAAAGGGGAGCCCTGTGTGGAAAGGGGGAGCCCTGTGTGGAAAGGGGAGCTCAGTGTGGACGTTAGCCCTTAACACAGGACATCACACACTCAGTTAACTTTAATTAGCACTTTATATATTACCCGTGGTGGAGCCTGACTTTGTGCTGTTTCCTTCTGGCTGCTCCCTCAGCTTTGTTTTTATTATTTTTCTTGGTTTTGCAGATTTACGGCCAGGGGTCTGGCCCAGACTGTCGGAACCACGTCCAGAAATTAAATTTGCTGCAGGGTGAGGCGGAGGAAGCAATTGGTTGGACGCCTCGGTACAGTGTTTAATCTTTATTTGCTCTTTTCTTTTGATATGCTACAGTTGATGCACATCTTCACACATGCAGTGCCTGTTACCTCATTTGAGCTGAGGAGGGTTTCTGTCCTGTTGTAAAGCCATGATGTGCTAGTTTTGTCATTCACCTCATAGGAACAAGCTATTTGTTGGGTTGAGTGTCCTGGCATGTTTCTTTTGACAAAGAATTTTTTCAGATAAGTTTAGTTGATCAATAGTGTGTGTTGTTCAGGCCTTTACCCCTTAAAATGTATGTAATAGGGCTTGTTTTGGTGGGTTTTTTTAAATTGTCTTATTTGTCTTCATTATCGGTCTTAATTACTTTTCAATGAGCTGACTGTGGAGGCGTCCATCTTACGAGCAGTGCAGAGGTGTGTCCTCAGGGAGAAAAACATCCTCCTCTCTAAGCTGTTGCTACCTAACTCTTGGCATTCAGGGGTTTCCCACTGAATCTGTTCAGTAATCACTGCTGCTATTAATAAAAAGACTTGTTTAATGCAAACGTTTGGGTGTATTTCCATCTGGGCTGGAAAACCTGAGTAGCACTTTCCTGTTTATTTCATTCCTGAATCTGTTTAGAAATTGCCTAATCATGAACTGGTCCAGCTTCCTTTTTATTCAAGGTTATTTTCAGAAATTAGTCAAAGCTAGTTATATAACGTAGTTGTGTACATGCAGTGCTTCAGGGTTAAGCTTTGGGAAGAAAACTCATTGTTTGGTCACTTTATCAAAAAGGGTTGCTATTTCTATTGTCAAAACATTGTGAAATAACTTCCCTTTTTCTTTGGTTGCTTGGGATATAATTAGTGGGTTTAAGCTGTTGTCCCAAAAGCTAGACTGTTATATCTCTATTTATGATCAATTAGAATTTACCGTTTCATGATTATTGAATTGAGATCAAACTTGCTACTCTGTTTGTGTAGAGAGAAGGAGGATGCCCTCTAACTAATTTTTTTTAAGTATTTGGACAATCTATCTTGCAAATCCTTCATTTGACATCTGCTTTTCTGTAGATCCTTTGTTTCCTGACATGCTGCCTGTCTGGTGTTCCTATCCATGCTTTCTATCCAATCCCTTGTGCTATGACTAGGTGATTTGAAAATTGTAAATCAACACACAGAAGTGTGTTCTAGAAACTCTAGCTTAAACATCTATTTTAGGTACGTAGAAGAATCTGTAAATGACAGCAAAAATATAGCAGCCCAACATGAAGACAGTTCAGTCCAGCAGGTAAGATACCTACACAGCTGAAGTAAACACCAACCCATAGTGACCTTGGTGAATCAAAGTGAAATCATTGATCTCTTTATATGGGTTCAGACAGGTAAAATAGTGTATATAATCAGAGAGGCTCCAGCAAAGAGGATGGGACATATACATTCCCCGTTCTCTGCTCCACCAGGATACTGGGAATACAAGACAGGAACATGTCCTAAACTAACTTGTGATTTGAGGCACTCAGCACATAAATAACAATGCCAAAACTGAGAGCCTTGAATTTTGCTGTTTTCAGTAATTCTCAGATGTTGTAGGAAGGAAGGGCAGAAGTCAGTCGCTGGAGTAAATATCTGGACAAGGACAGTGAAGATCAGGAAGATGGGAAGGAGGAGGCAGATACAGAAAGGCAACAGTTCTGTTCCCGGAGGAAGAACACTGTGAAAGAACAAAGGTACAGAAAGAGCTCTTTATTTTTGGTAATTCCAGCCCCTGAGTGGTGACATTTGGTGTGGAGGTGTGGGAGGTAGCTCATCTCTGAGAGCTGAACAAAGTACAGGTTGCAAGGTACAACCTGACCTGACTAGGGATTTGTTATTTGGAGGTAAAACTTCTCTTATTGCTAAAGCCATGCATTTTACGAACATTTCTGCTGATTTGTGGAAAAAAAAATAAACCTCACAGTGGAGCTAATTTGTCCTCTTTGTGAATTATTTTCTTGGCCAGGAAACAACAGAAGAGCTTTCTCTCCAGTGATGTTCAGGAGTACAGAGAGGAAAATGGAGATTTCCAGCTTGCCTACCGAGCCAAAAAGGTTAAAACCTCTGAGGTATTTTAGTTGTAGAAAATTCTCCCTACCAGTAAAACAAAACAGCGTTCTGACCTCTTTTGCGTCATCATAATTTTGAAGTTTATGAGCCTTCCTTTGCTCTTCTGTTTGAATAACTGGGGAGAAGAAGAAATTTGTGTCAAGAATTTCTCTCTGACAGGTTTCAGTCAGGTAAAACCAGTGCAAACTTGTGTAAGCAGAGTGGTTGAGCCAGATTCCTCTATCAGCACAATTAAGAACTGTGCTGCTTTGCCTTACTGAGCAGTGGCACCTGTGTTGGATGCGGTTATTAAGGCTGCTGTGTTTTCCTGCACTCTGCCAGTGAAGTTGGCCAGAGTCTCCACAGCCCAGAGTTCATAGGCCCAACCAGTGCTTTGGCCTCAGCTCTGCCTCGGGGGGGCTGGTGAGAATTTGGGTGCATTTGAAGGACTTGAGTTCTCTTTGTTTGCCTGCTTCTGTGCAGCTTGGCTGCGTCTGCTGGATTTATAACCAAGCTCTCTTCCTTCTTACAGCTCAAGAACTGTGCAGTAGCAGTGGCTGATCAAGATGATGGAGGTGCTTTTTCTGGAGACAATGTGGTTCCTGCTGTCTGTGAGTCCGTAGTGCCCGAGGAGAATACACGAACCTCAACTCCTTGTACTAAACCCTCAAAGTGGGAAAAATTTCTCTCATATTCTGACAGCAAAAACGCTGCCGGGGTCACCTTGTCACCACAGGATGGCAGTGGAAGGTTGGGGCTACACAGCACCACCGCAGCAGATGGTGGTGCGGCCAGTAGATGCTCAGAACAGGCTGGAAGAACTCCAGGTACAGGCTTTGAATTTAAAAAGCATGGTGCTAGCACCAAGTGGCTTGCCTTGAAACCGCCTGGCACTGCAGTGCCCAGCAGCAGTTGCTCAGTTGAGGGTGATGCGTTGTTCAAAGAACCTCAAAGCCAATTGGTGAGGGCAGGGTCTGGTGTCTCGGAGACAACTGCAGGAAGGTGCATGAGGGCAAGCACCCTTAACTGTAGGACCGGCCAAAAGCCCAGCAGTGTTTCTCATGAGCACCTCTTCTGCACTGGTGAGGAGTTTGATGACGATCTCTGAGATGTTCAGGTACCTTTAGCATTGCTTTCTTGTTTGTCTCTGTAATGTGTGTGGTATGTCGAGTTCTGAGGCAAAGTTTTGACCTGAAGATGCACTTATTAAAGTTGTTTACTTGCTCTATGGCTGTGTTTAGGGAAAAGGATATGAGGGCAGAAGAAAGTTGTTGTACATTGTTATCTAGCAACCCTATCAGCTAGAAGAATGGAAATAGGTCAGCTTGGGGGAAGAAAGCTCCAAGGATTCCTGGTCACTACAATTAAATTCTGTGATTAATTCCCCATTACAAAGTACAGCTCTTTTCCCCTGTTAACCTCTTTGTTTAGATCTCCCATAGCAACCCTTTCTTCCAGAACTGCAGAGCAGGCTTCAGAATCAGGAAAGCATTTAATTTCCCTTCAGAAGTGTAGCCCTAAGTGGGGGGACACCCTTGTTGTACAATGTTAGGTCAGCTTGGGGGAAGAAAGCTCCAAGGAGTTGTTGTACATTGTTATCTAGCAACCCTATCAGCTAGAAGAATGGAAATAGGTCAGCTTGGGGGAAGAAAGCTCCAAGGATTCCTGGTCACTACAATTAAATTCTGTGATTAATTCCCCATTACAAAGTACAGCTCTTTTCCCCTGTTAACCTCTTTGTTTAGATCTCCCATAGCAACCCTTTCTTCCTGAGCTGCAGAGCAGGCTTCAGAATCAGGAAAGCATTTAATTTCCCTTCAGAAGTGTAGCCCTAAGTGGGGAGACACCAAGTTACATACAAGAAGCCCTGGGCTGGCTGATGACATCACATGTTCTTAGCCTAGTCCCTCCCTTCTTAAGTCACAGAGATACTTAAAACACACAGACTCATCACAGGAAGTAGTATTTATTTTTCTTCCATTCTACAAGCATTTTGGAACATGAGACAGAAACCCTTTGCAGGAAAAAAAGATGTACCACTGAGTAAGTTGTAGTGCGTTGTTTGCTTTCAGTTAGAAGTGCTTTTTGTTAGACACCTCACTTGAAGTAGTTTGGGTGCTTGGAATACTGGATGGCATCTAGTGCTGCCCCGATGTCGCAGTTCTTTGTCTGCAGGAGTCGAGTGAGCCATCCACCCTCATCGGAGAATCCCATAGAGAGCATCTGGGACAGAGATTCAATGAGGCGAGGGTCTGCTTCTGTTAAGAGAAGAATAGTTTAAATATTTCACGTTAATTGGCAAACCAGCAAAGGCTTTAATATCACACAGTAGGTATGTTGGCACTAATCCGAGTAAATCTGGTTTAGCTGGTTAAATGCTAGAAGACATGCTCTCCTGTGTCTCCCAGGAGGGCAGATGTTTGAGATAAGAGATACATAACTCAGCCTCAGCTGGCCTTGCTGCAAGACAGTGCTGCTGATCTCAGTTAATTGGCCTGGCATACTGTTAACTGGCTCCCACCAGAAAAACTGTCTTATATAAAAGTTACAGGATGTACCAGTCTGCATCCTGCATTAAAGGGTTCTCTGGAAGAGTAAGCAGCAAGGACATGATTTAGGACACTACCTTTTTTTCATACTGCTTCAATGGCATATTAGTTTAAGGTCAGAAGTCTTATTTAGGCTTATCTGCCCACATTAAAGAGAAGAACCAGCTGTCTCTAACAGGGTGCAAGAGCTGCCATACCTGCTAACAAAGTTATGGACGAGTTTAGCTCTAACTTATGTGACCTTGGTTTCTACCGCCTCTAAAAGCAGGTCTGCTTGTATCAGGCAAGTTGGCAGTTGCTGAGTGAGAATTACCTCCCAGTTAGGAAACCTGCACACATTCTCATACCTGGTGGGAGATGCGGGTAGAGGGCAGCTTCTCGCAGTCCTGTAGGTCCTGGCTGGGGAGGATCCTGAGGTACATCCAGGGAGCTGGGACCCTCCGTCTCTGGCATTTGCAGAGACTGCAGTTCACCTGTGGAAGGATCCACTTCTTTGGAAGATAAGTGGGTCCAGTCCTCATCACCCCCTGACGAACTGCTGGATTCACTGTGTTCCTGAAATGGAAAGAAAAAAAAGTCCAGATGCTGCAGTGCTTTCCAGGTAGGATGCATCCTCCTACTGCCTGCCTTTAATACAAAAAGTTACATCCAGAAGAAGTCCCGTGACTTTTGCTGTAAACCAGTAAAGGAAAGGTGCCATATCTCACTTAGTCTGCTGACACCTTAATATTCAATCCCCCAGTGCACGCTAAATATTTATCTTCCTTTCTAGCAAGGCCTCAGCAAACATTACTGAGTTTTATTTAGTACCTGTGACTGGAAGCTGCCATCTTCCATTTGTGTGGGCACAGGATCTATCACCATGTCTTGTATCTGCTCTGTGACAGTATTTACTTCTGTACCAGAATCTGTGTTATTCCAGTCTGGTTTGGTCTGAACGTCCTGCATACCACTGCTGGGCTCAGCACTGCTCTTCTCTTGACTGGGAGAAGCAGGAGTCACTTTGCTTCTCTGTCCTCCATGTTCCACATCAATATCAACATCGATACCTAGAAATGCATTTGAGATGGAGAAAGTCTTACAGAGATTTTTTTTTTCCAAAGCACAGTCCTGAAAGAACATGCATCAATGCTGGTCTAAGCACTGTAAGGTTTCTGTAATCCTGTAGCCTGTCATGTAACATGTAGGAATTAAGATGTGAAGCATTCTTTAAACAAAGAATAGTTCAGCATCAAACAGTCATCCTCCTTGAGACAGACAAGCCGTGCATCTAGGCCAGAAGTTATCTAAGTCTCCCTAAGCCAGGCAAAATCCTGACTCATCGCTGACTTAAGATTAGTGTTACATGGCAACATGTTAAAGAAATCTTTCCTCCTAAAGGAGGGCTCTGAAAAGGTACCGAGTGATTGTTCTAAGCCTGGGCATTGTTAGTACCAGGAGTAAACTGAGGCTTGGTGGCAGGAGGTAGTTCCAGTATCAGCCACAACAGCTGACAGCTGCTTCTGTTCAAAGGACCTTTAAAAACCAGTCTCAGAATTGGGATAACAAACGGTAAGTCACTTACCCAGGGGGCTCAGAAAAGCTGCAACACTCTCCCCAACATTCTTTAGGAAGGTGACGTTGGGGTCCTGAGGCTGGTTGTTAGTAGAAGCTTCTAGAAAAATAACTTCTGTTAGCACATATAGGAGCTCAGAGGGAAAGAGCACCTATAAAGAGTATCCCCATGAGATCTTGGTGCTCATTTGCTGTCACACACACTCTGCACAACAAAGGCAGTATAGAGACAAAAATTTAACTCTAAGCTACCTTTGGAACTGAAAACCAGTGGCAGTAGCGTTGTTAAGGCTCATTAGCCATGCTGAAAGGCAGATCTGGAGGAGTGACAAGTTTGACCTAACAGCTCAGCTTTCTTTGGTTCCAGATGCTCTCTCTGAATCCCCCTCTATTGCACAGGCCCAAGCATGCCTTAAAACAGTCCCTCTCTGCACCAAAAGCAAATTTGAGTAGTTCCTATGTCTATTTTTCCACCCGGATTCCACCCCGTGCTGCAGAACTTCAGCTACTGTGGCTCCACCGCCACTTTGTTTACCAGAGCCATGTCCTCTTACCTTCTGCAGTGGGTGGACTGGAGGCTGCGGTACCAGCCTGGGCTTGTTCAGAGTTTTGGCACGGAGCCGCAGGGCCGGGATATCCCCAGCAGTGCATCCATGGGAAGGGTGGAACACCATGCCGCATTTTACGGAGCCAGCGTCCTCGGGGAAGCCACTGTAAAGGGTAACGTTCACGTGAGACTGTTCACAGGGCCAGATTCTGCATTACTGGAACTTGTGACTTAAATTTGAGGAATATCCCCATTCCTCAGTTCCTCTTCCACAGATATGGGAGGTTTTTTTTGGCTCACCTCAAAGGGATTTAGCAGCGGACTTTGGAACATCACCATGTTGTGCTCCTTGTGGATGCCTTTGCCCTCGCAGGTGCTGCACAGGTCATAGTCTGGGCAGACAGTGCACTTGAACCTGGCACCCACCACCGGCCCCTCGCAGCCGTCACAGATGACATTGGGGTGCACCATGTCACGGGGGGGCTCCTGGCTGCACTGCGAGCGATGTTCCCGCCGGCACTCCTTCTTGTCTATTAAGGAAAGGAAACTTTGCATCAAAACGGGGTTACTATTTAAAGGCTGGAAATCGGGCAGAGGAGAAGGAAGCGCAAACAGCCCATGTCGGGGCAGTATTGACTTACTGGGTCAGTTTATTTTTACCTTGGCTGCCAAACACAAGCTGGGGGCATGGAAGAGAACCTAAACCAAGTGAGAAGGGGTTTCGCAAAGATACCTGCTCCTCACACTGAGCATGCCTTATCCTCAACAGCCTCTTGGCATGTTTATTTTAGATTGGTGCTGCGCCTACCCCCTTTGGCTCCTGGTCCTACCTTCCTAAGAACAGCAAGAACACAGTGTTTTTTGGAGAGGGAGTCGGGAAGAAATGCCAGGAGGCACAACAGATGAGAGCTGGGACAACATCGCTGGTGTGACTCATTAGATGGACCGCAGATAAAGCACTGCGGGCATCTTTGTGAACAGAAAGGACTAGGGAGCAACTGTTTGCTGAGGAATAAGCCGGATTTCGTGCATTGCTGTGAATATTGAAGGGGCTGGTGCCAGTCTGGCATTTCCAGGGAACCAACAGGACAACAGCAGCTCGCGTTGGGCCGGGCTAGGAGGAAACTTGTGATCTGTTTACCCCACGTTAGCAGGGAGGGGTTCATGTTCCGGCACATCACCCTGCCCTTCACATCACCTCCCCCCGGAGGCCGCAGGTTCCACTAGGCCCCCCGAGGACACGGGGAAGGGCCGGGGCTCGCCTCCCCCCGTTTCCAGAGGCCTGTGACCGCCCCCGGGGGAGCTGTGCGGGGGGGTTACCTTTGATGTAAACGCGGAAGACGCCGTCCTGCACGTACGGCATCGCCATCTCCAGCTCCTCATCGGTGGAAAAAGCGATCAGGTCCCCGTCTTCATCTAGAGAAGGACAAGATCAGGCGCCCGCTCAGGTGTCACCGGAGGGGGCGGCGGGGACACCCCCACCCGCCGGACAGCCCCGCAGACCTTCCCACCCCCAGGACCACCGCGGCCTGACCCGGAGCAGCCCCCCAACCCGCCGCCGCTCACCCTTGTAGTGCA